GCCGCCGCCGTCCCGGTCACAGGGGGCTCGGCCCCGCGGGCCGCTCGCAGCACGGCGGCGGGCGGGGCGCCTTACCGGGGCGCCGGGGGCTCCGCGTTCCTGCTCGGGACCGCGGCAGGTCGCTCGTTTTCTGGGCGGTTTCGTCGTCGCCCCGCAGAGGCCACGCGGGCGGGAGCGCAGGTTTGCTGTACGCTGCATCGGGGCGGCGTTTGCCCTTTCACCGGCTTTGCTCTCTTTTCTGTCTCTGCCTCTTTCCTCCCGGCTGATAGAACTCCTGCCCTTACTCCCAGGCCGCAGAGAACTCGGCCGGCCGAACCCGGGTGCCCCGTCTCGCTTGTGCCCGAGATTGTGGTTGTTTGAGGCGGTCAGGTCAGCTGAAGCACGAGGAGTTTTCCCGTCTCCTCAGCTTGTCCTAGACGCTGTAAAACACGTGAAGCTCAGTTTACTGATGCTGTACCCCAGCCAGCTGAAAGGGACGTTTTTGCAGAATTAGATCCACTTGTCAAGTCGGTGGCACGAGAAAGGAAAGGTTTTGTGTCGGTGAAGCTGGTGACGAGCGCTTACATTTGTCTCTTTCCCTGCCTAGATTGAGCGGCTGGAAGTCAGCAGCCTTGCGCAGACCTCCAGTGCGGTGGCCTCCAGCACCGATGGCAGCATCAACACAGACTCTGTGGATGGGACCCCGGACCCACAGCGTACGAAAGTGGCTATCACACACCTGCAGCAGAAGATCCTGAAGTTGACCGAGCAGATCAAAATCGAACAAACAGCCCGCGATGACAACGTGGCAGAGTACCTGAAACTGGCCAACAATGCAGACAAGCAGCAGAGCGCCCGCATCAAGCAAGTGTTTGAGAAGAAAAATCAAAAGTCAGCCCAGACCATCTTGCAGCTGCAGAAGAAACTAGAACATTACCATCGAAAACTGCGAGAGATTGAGCAGAATGGGATCCCTCGGCAGCCGAAGGATGTCTTCAGGGATATGCATCAGGGTTTGAAAGATGTGGGAGCGAAAGTCACTGGCTTCAGCGAGGGAGTCGTAGACAGTGTAAAAGGGGGGCTTTCCAGCTTCTCCCAAGCCACGCATTCAGCAGCAGGAGCTGTGGTTTCCAAACCCCGGGAGATTGCCTCCCTCATAAGGAACAAGTTTGGGAGCGCAGACAACATTGCTAATCTGAAAGACTCCCTGGAGGAAGGCCAGGAAGATGGGACAGGAGGCAAGGCTCTAGGTGTTATTCAGAACTTCCAGTCAAGCCCAAAATATGGCAGTGAAGAGGACTGCTCCAGTGCCACATCGGGCTCGGTGGGAGCCAACAGCACAACGGGGGGCCCTGTGGGAGCTTCTAGCTCCAAAACAAACACTCTGGATATGCAGAGCTCAGGGTTTGATGCAATACTGCATGAGATTCAAGAGATTCGGGAGACACAAGCAAGACTGGAAGAATCGTTTGAGGACCTTAAGGTTCGCTATCAGCGGGATTACTCATTAATCATGCAGACGCTGCAGGAGGAGCGGTACAGGTATGTGCTGTCGTCCTTCATTTCTGTACTAAGCACTGTGAGTCGTGGGGTAGCGCAGTCCTGGCTCGGCTGCTCAGCAGGCTGTTCCCAGCAGCCTCACTGAGGTGGGAAGTTCTCAGGATTTTGCCCTCCCAGCTTTGTCTTTTGTAAATACTGTTGTCTTGCTCTGTACAAGAAAGAAATAACAAGGAAAATAGGTTATTTCATGGTGTTTTCAAGACAAAAAGACAAGCCAGAGAGATTTAGAAGGGTGTCCCACAAGATCAGGAGGTTACTATTATCTAGATAGTGTTGTGCCCTGCCACAGTCCTGCAGGGGTTTGGGTCAGGGCGAGAGACAGGACTGTATGTGGGCGATGTCCCGACCCTGCCTCTCCAACACTCAGATCCGTATCTGCCAGAGAAAGAGAGATCAGCTTTCTTAGGGCTCCCCCAGAAGGATGGGACCTTGCCCGTGTGCCAGAGTGAGGGTGTCCTCTTCCCTTCGCTCAGCCTCGCAGCAGCAGGGTTCGGTGACGTTAAATTGCATGTCAGGTGCTGGCAGTGCTGATGTCACGTGTGTCTCTGTCACGGATGGCTCTGGGTGTGGGTAACCCATCATCCCATCAGCCCTCCCCTCGCTGCAGTAGGGCCAGGCCCTGACCAGGTCCTCAGGGAGAGGTGACGGTGGCTTCAGGGAGGCAGCCTGGCAGCGTGGGGCAGTCGCCTGCTCGTCCTGCCTCCCCGCCAGGCACCCTGTGGGCTGCTGGGGGGGCCTCCCCACTCCCTTCCCCATGCTGCTGGTGGGAGCGAGCTCCCGTGCCACCCCGTCCTGTCCAGCTGATGGCCTCGTGTCCATCCATTGCATGCCAGGAGCCGGGGCTCACCCCCAGGTTTCGGAGGGAAGAGCCACCAGCTGCCCTTCTGCAGCCATTCGGGGTGCTGCAGCCTAAATCCACGGGATTCTTAAACCACGCTTTTTAAACTTTAAATAACAAACGCAAGGGTCCCAACTCCTCGTCCCGATGGAGCACCTCAGGCTTTCGTAGTGGCATTGCCCCCGTGGCCGGGCTGTGAAGCCTGCGAGGCTCAGCACAGCTGCTGGGCTGGGAACAGCCGCTCGAGCCTGCCGCCATGGTTTGTGCAGCGCGGAGTGGAGTTGCCCCACAGCTCTTCAGACATGCTGGTGCCAGATCTTTGGGAACACATTTGGAAAGGCTCAGCCTGCTAGGATGCTGTAGAGACAGCAAGCTTTCTGTGGGCTTTGCAAAGCTTGGATAGATAAAGCCAGACCAACGCCACTTTCTAATCCTGCTTTGCGACAATCAGCGACTTGCCTGGTGCTGGCGCCCGGCACGGCAGCTTTGGTTCCCAGTGCCTCATTGTTGTGAAGTCACCTAACGACCTGGAGTTTGGTCTTCACTCTCCAGCAGAGAGGGGCCTGTTATCTGTCAGTGTGCAGGTTTTCACACGTACAAGCAGCAGCCATTCATGGTGGAATCACAGTACAGCTGAAGGAGAGGCCTGAAAATACAGTAGAAGCCCTTGGGGACTGGTGTATGTTGCCAGCTAAACTGGCTAGTTATTCCCTCAAAGCATTAGCCAGGTTCATGGAGGTCCTCATCCGTGCCATGGGCAGTCACATCTGCCATGGGCCATTGACCTTTACCGAGTGCTCCCCTGAGGGGAGCCCAGAGCCTCACCACAAACCAAGGCAGCCTTGAGTGAAAAGCTTTGAGGGAACTTGTGTTTGGCTTACAAATGCTTAAAAAGATAGTAATTTAGACCTGGCATTTGGAATGTTGATGCAAATTAATTAAAGATGTGACCCTTCAAGAGGACCAGTCAAACCACACTAAGTGCCCTTGTCTCTGCAGGCTGTCAGAGGTGAGCAGGTAACTGCAGGATCCGCAGGGAGCTCACGGGTTAATCACAGTGAGGTTAATGCCTTATTGTACAAATCTAGATTCTTGTTTGATAGCTGCTGTGTTTTAAACCATCGCGAAGATAAAAGCCAACATCACCCTGAGAACTGGAAGGTTATGTCACGTGTCCGAGGGCAGAGGATGCCGCTGCCTTGGAGAGGGCTGGTGCCTGTTCCGATGACTCGGAACCCCCCTCATTCCTCAGCTCTCTTTTGGAAAAATGGAAAGATGGGAATGGAGGTTGTGGTTTGAAACTGGGAGGCTGGAGATCCAAATTAATCATAACTGGCTTTAAAAGCTATAAATACCTCATAACTTTGCTCTGTTTCTGGGAAGCTTTCAAAAACAAGCACTGAGTTCCATTAGGGCTCACCGAGAGAAGTGTTCTGGAGAAGCCTTTGCTCGCAGGGCAGCGCTTAGTGTCCGCGTTGTACCTGGAAGCTGGAACAAAGCACGTGCTGTGACGTTCTGTCTCGTGGCCCTTGTCCATTTCCTCTTTCTTAGATGTTCTGCCTTTTACAGTTCTGAGCTTTTCCCCTTGTGTGTCCATGCAGTTGTGTTTATGAGCTGTGGCTTGCATTGCAGGTTTTCCACAACTCCGTGGATCTCCTCCCTCCCTCTCCTTGCCTCCAGCACCTGCCCATCAGTCCCTGTGGCTGCCGCTTTGCTGCCTGGCTCCTGGGCAGGGACTCGCTGCTGCGGTTGCCCCAGTCCCCCGCCGTGGTGGTGCAGGGTGGTCCCTCGGCAAGGCCCTGCCCACAGCCAGCAGCACAGGACCGCACCGTGCTGCTCTGCCGCGGCTGAGGTGTGAGCAGGGAAGATTCTGGTGGCGCCTTGGCCATCGCTGTGTTCCTTCTGCACCAGGAGCAGGCCATGAAATTAGCTGTCGCTGATCTCAGCAGTTGGAAGGTGGTGGTTGTTTACTGATACAAGCTATTGAGACTGAAGTAAAGTTCCTGCTGAGTATTTTCTTTCTGTGTGTCCCTTTAGGAACCTGTTTGCATGTGGAGAAATCATGAGCTCACACATTTGGAGTGTAGCCAGCCCGAGGGTTTGGGTTTCTTCCCAAGCTTGGCATCCTTGGAAAGGGCATTGAGGTCTCCCACGCTCCTGTCAGGAGGAATCCTTCAGCCAAAATGCTGGACGCTGGTGCTTTCATTTATCTGATCTGTGCTGTAGTTTGATTGCTGCACTTCAGTCTGTTCTCATGATTTGTTTTAAAATAGATCAAAGGTGCTGAACCCTCGAGGCCTAGAAGGGCTGGGGAGGTCTCTGGAGCGTGGCCGGGCAGCAGAGGCAGCGCTGGGTGGGACAGGGCTGGCCCGGCCGTGGAGGCCCTGAGCCGTCCCGGGGAGCTGTGCCCTCTGCCAGGGCAGGGCCGGCTGGAGGCACAGCGCGACGCGGGCACGGGGGCAACGCTGCCCCTGCAGACAGACTCCGCTGCTGAGCGCAGGGTGTTCCGAGCCTAAGGAGCACATCTGGGTGACTATTAAATAAAGACCAGATGAAATTTTGTATAACATAGGTATAAAAAAAAAAGGTCCATCTTGGGCGATGCTTGCAGAGAGGTATTGAACTGTGTCCCTTACCTATGCTCCATTAGCTGTGTATTTTGAAGTTGTTACTTCAAAATACCTTAAAGCTCTTAAAAAATGAGATGGTCATAATGAGATTGCCTTTTTCAGATCAGTTCCCTGATTCCCAGGCAGTGGGCTCAGAACATGGGTGGGAATGTGATGTGGCTTCTCTATAGGAAGTGTTTCCGCATCCCAGAGCGACACCCCAGCACCGCTCTGGTGTCTGCTGTACGCACATCCCTGGCCTTCCCCGAGACTTGTGACAGTCAGCACTAGTCTCTTACACAGAAAAGTTTCTGTGCTGCAGCTTGTTAAGCAAGAGGCTAGCAATTTCACATATTAGCTAGTGAAAAAATAATTCCTGAAATCCAACGAGGTATTTTCTGTACCTGAAATAAACTGGGATTTGATCACTGGGGGCACTGCTATATTCACAGAGAGGTTTGCACAGACACCAGCACTCACACGTTAGAGAGGGAAGTGTGAGTATAACCGAACCCTCTTGACAGGTGTCCCATCCCTTTTATTTTTGTAATACCTCTGAGTTAAATGTGAACCATCCTCCAGTAGGAAAACTCTGGCTTTGGGCCCTGCCAGTTGCATGAACCCCTCTTAGCTTTTCTAATTTGAACATCAGTAGAAAACAGCAGGGAAAAAAAATCATTTTCGAAAGATAATGTAGATAATGGGACAAGGAGTGAGAAGTAAATGAATGGAGGAAATGTAATTTTAAAAGTAAGTGGGTGCATTTGCAAGGGGGTGTGGGTTGTTTTTTTTTAATAAGCCAGTTCCAGCGGCTGCCTAGCACAGCAGTCTCTGAAAGCTCAGATGGTTCTTGGGTGCAAACTGCAAAAGCTCTGGGGTCAGGCAGGGAGGTGAAGCGTGGTTCGGGGACAAGCCGTAGCCCTGCATTCAGGGCAGGGAGGGCCGGAGCCAGCCCTTCCGCTAAGCACGTTCCGCTTGAACTCTTAACTGTATGGATTTGCAGGGGCTCCTTAAGTTTCCTGTAGATTGAAACAGTTTTGAAATTATTAAAATACGATTGTTTCTTGTTGGAGAACAGGATTTAAGCTGCCTGGCAACAGCCTTTTGATGAAGGGCATGTATGTGGGAGGAGATTAAAATACATAATTGTTATATTTTCAGAAATGCTTAAGTCCCTTTTTATGTAATAAAGCCCCTGGAGACCTTTGTAATATATTAACAAACTGAATATATTTCAAGTAATTGATGCTGCCTTTGGGATTTAGCGTGGGTTTAGTTGTGATTTCTTGGTTGTTGTCAAGTTGAGGGTTTTTTAAGTTGGGTGTGAACAAATGGCAATATTAATTATCTGGGCTCTTCCTTCATTAGCCAGCCTTCATGTGGCTATTCCCTTGTTTGCAGCTTGTTGTTCTTGGGGAACCAGTTCTCCCGTGTGCCCTGTCTGGGTTGCCGGGCTGTCCTGGCTCCTGTCTGGGCTGAGCCGTGTGAGCGGGCGCTTGTCTCAGTCTCTCTCCTGGCTGACCACACGTGTTTCATTCCTGGAAGATGCTGTGCTACGTCTGACTCCTTGGTTTAGAGCAGTATTGCATTGGGAATGGAAATTAAAATTCTCTTCAGACTTTGCAACTAAAAACAGAATCCCAAGACTATTTTTAAAGGCTAGCTTTTGCCTACAGATTCTGAGTATCTGGCTGGTGAAGCACCAAAAAAATATTGAGAAAAACCAAGAAGCAGTATTTTTGTTGTAGTTTCAGAACTTGTAATTAAACTCTTAATTCTAGATAAATATTGTTTATTCATTTTATGCATGTGTGTGCATGTGTGAATTAAATTCAGTTGGAGTCAGAGAGGAGCTGAGATTAAACCAAGGAATTATCTATGTTGAGTTCCTTAGAAATTTCTCAGCTACTAGTATCAGGGGTCAGGTGATAAGAGCTGCACAGTAAGCTTTTTTCATGCTGTTATGGAGGAAATCAGAGTGGAAAACCCCAGGGCCCACAGTAGCTGTACCCGTGACTTAGCGAGCACCAGGGCCGTCGCTCCTCATGAACCAGGAGTGAGAAACAAGCGGGGGGCGTGGGGGAAGGGGGGGTGGATGGTGCCCAGCTTGCTGCGCCCGACCCTGGGGCTGTGGCCTCGCACTCTGTCTGTGTTTACCTTTTGGAAGTATTAGAAATAGTTGACTGAATTTAAAAAGGTACTGAGGCTCGAGTTACTTGTAAATTTGGACTTGAAATTCCAAAAATGAAGTGCTACGTACAAATGCAAAGTATCCCTAATGTATTTTGAAAGTGCTAAAATAACATTATGGAGCGATCATTGAAGTCAATTTAAAACTCCCTCAATAAGAAACAAAACTGTATCTCAGAACTGTTGTAACTCAGTTATTTTGGACCGCCCTCTTCCTCGGGACTGCGCCCAGGCCATTCACCAGTAGCAAACTGAAAAATAAGCCTGTAGTTAATGATTCACGTGCCTTCCTTAAAAATAAGATGGTCTTTGCTGGTTAAGTTGCATCATTCATGGGAGATAAAGAAAAAATAAGTCAAGGATACCCACGTGACCTCACATGTAGAGATCAGACAGGACGATCATGTGCTCTGAGGCATTGGTCACGTTTTATTTCTGGATCATTTTTATGCCCATTGCTGTTCCGAGTGTAGATGAAAATGCTGAAGAGCTTATGGTATTAGAAGGAAACGGGTCTACACAGAAGTTTGGGGAATAAGTTACTCTATTCTAAGAGGCCTTCCAAACGTGTGTGTTTGTAATGACTGAGGAGGCCACACTGGTTTTCACTAACAAGTCTGTGATGTCCATTGCTCCATTGTTACTGGTGTAATTTTGCTGTCCTCTTCTTATTAAAGCTGCTGAACCATGTGTGTCATTTTCAGATGTGAAAGACTCGAAGAGCAGCTAAATGACCTGACGGAGCTCCACCAGAATGAGATCCTCAATTTAAAACAGGAGCTGGCCAGCATGGAGGAGAAAATTGCCTATCAGTCCTACGAGCGAGCCCGGGACATCCAGGTGGGTGACAGGCACGAGGAGACTCCAGTTCTGCCTTCCACCCGCGCTTTCTGGAACTCACTCACTTTTGAAATACTTCTGTCATTTGATATTTGCTTTTAGGCCTTGTAGCTTTATTGCTAAACTGCATATCGACGAGTTCTGGAAGGGCCTTTATTGCATCTCTGCCCCTCAGGCATCTCTCCAAGTAAGGGCTTGTGTAAGGAGGGGCTGTGCCCTGCGCCAGCAGACGGGTTCGATGCAGAGCGAGCCTGCCGCTTGGTCCGGAGCAGAGCTTCCAGATGAGCTGTAGCCAAGTGGAGGCCTGCGTCCACTTTTCGTACAGGGTTTTGTAGGGTTCGGTGACCTGAACACTTCTTTTCACAGTAGCGTTCCCAGTAAACGGAGCCGAGGTTTGTTTCTCGAGGGTGTGTTTCTGTGTCACTAATTTTAGAGCAGTGGTCATGAGTGTCTAAGGAAAAATGGCTTTGTGTATCCACTGCATTGAGGCAGGAAACAATTCTTTCTGTCGGTTTTGCCCAAATAAGGAGGTATTTTTAAAGAAGTTTCTTTCAGTCTGTAAAAGACCAAAGCTATGGAAACGGGGATTTTGAAGCTGGAGGGCCTTCCACAGAGCAAGAGACCTGGGAAATGATCTGAGCAGCCGCTAAACCTCACAAAGAAAGGCCTATTCAGAAATAGGTCTATCGTCCATTTTAAATACTTTCTGTGCTAGTTTTAGCAGGCATCTCGGTTCTGATCACTGATGTGAGATACTTATAGCGTGAGCAGAGAATTGTAGGTCAGAGTTCTCCCTCCTTCCTCCCCCCGAAGTGCTTCAGCCAGGTGATTTCCTCTGGAGACAGAGCAGGCTGTGCTTCTGGCACGCTTGTAGGTCGAGCTGCAGGTCCAGTTGGGTCAGTGGCCTTCCAGGCTGCCCGCTGCTGGAGGAGGCTGAGCAGCTCTGCCCCGTGCTTTCGGGGACCGTAACTGAAGAGAAGCCCTCACAGGAGATGATCTTTAATGTCCCTTCCAACCCAGCCTGTTCTGTGATTTTGTGTTTCACTGACCTCCACAGGCACGATGCTGTGACAGAGAAAGGTAGCGGGTGACACATGACCTCTAAGTTCAGGTTAAAACAAGTTAGTGTCTGTGGACAGTGGTGCCATGGCCTGGGGGAATGTTACAATATTCAGGTTTTGTTCTCCTCTCTAATTTAACACAGCAGGAAGAAGCAAGGTTGAAAACTTAAACTGAAGTGGGGATTTCTCAATAGCTTTTTTAAATCTTCACTTTATGATTCAGTGCTTTTAGTGTAAATTTGCAAATTGGGACAGACTGTTCCTCAGCAGTGCTGAGGAAAAGGTAAGCATTGAGTTTTCCTGCATGAAAAACCAGTTAAGAGCATGGGCTGATGTTGCAGAGGAACAGTCCTAGTTCCTTTTTCAGTGATCAGCCCGAGAGAGACTGCTGCTTGCTGCAGACTTTTTGGTGTTAACCGAAGTTGGCCTTGATGTCTGAGAAAAGCAACTCTGAGGCAGGATTAATGAGAAAATTCTAACTTTGTATCTGCAAGAGTAGAAATGTCTCAGACCCCCAAGTTAGCCCTGCTTTAGAGGTGGTGTTCTGTACAGGACAGTCTCCTCCCTCCACATACTTCCTAGAGGCCGTTTCATAAATCTCATGCCTCCGACCCTTCTCCCAGACATCTCACTTCTCCAGCCCTTGCAGTGTCACCTGGAGCTCTGCCAGTGCCCCAGCTTGCTGCAGTCTGGAGGAGGGGATCTTCCTCCTGTGACACCAGCTGTGCAGTCCCACCCTCGCTACTCTCACACCTTTCCCTGGGCTCGTTCAGGTCCCTGAGTGAGCAGAGTGTGACCGAGCCTTTTTGGTTAGTTATTTTTGTAGACTTTCTCTGCCAGGTTGACTAGAGAGTTGAATGGGCTCACAGAAGGGTTGATAAGCACAAGCCACTGCAAGGAAAGGGATGGAAATGGGAGGCTCTGGGAATACACATCCCAGAAGAGGAGGAGGAGGAGTGCTGGCTAGACACAGCACCTTGGTACCCTCAGTGTTCTCCTGAAACCAAGGCTGAAGTGAGCAGCTCGCTGTGTAGCCCCCCCCCTTCCGGACAAGGGCTGTCTGAGGGCTGTCAGCATCCTCCTCTGGAGGATGGTGGGGCCTGAGGTGACGGTCGCACCGTGCAGGGACAGGCAGCTGAAGTGTGTTTTGACTAAGGCTGACTCCTGCCCGGCCTGTCAGCTCTCTGACAATCCTCTCTGGTGTCAGTGAGGTGCCGTGGTCGTTACAGACAGCCGTGCCTCGTTCATGAGGGGCTCCTCACCCTCGGTCCTGTGCGGTGCCGTGGCTTGCTCCACGCCCAGTGTGGCGGCCCGTGTCCCGCGGGCGGTGCGGAAGGCACACGGGTGGCCTGGGTTGGCCTCGTCGGTCAGGGGAGGGCCGTGGGCCACCCGCCATGGGGGACGTGTGGGTGCCGGCGGCCCAGCGCTGTGTTCTTGCTGGCAGGAGGCCCTGGAAGCGTGCCAGACCCGCATCTCCAAGATGGAGCTGCAGCAGCAGCAGCAGCAAGTGGTGCAGCTGGAGGGGCTGGAGAACGCCACGGCCAGGAACCTGCTGGGGAAGTTCATCAACATCCTCCTGGCTGTCATGGCCGTCCTGCTCGTCTTCGTCTCCACTGTGGCCAACTGCGTCGTGCCCCTCATGAAGACTCGCAATAGGACGTTCAGCACTTTATTTATAGTGGTTTTCATTGCCTTTTTGTGGAAGCACTGGGACGCCATCACCGGCTACTTGGAACGGTTCTTGTCTCCCCCCAGATGATGGCGGCAGGAATTGGCTGCATCGGCCTCCTCCCGGCGCTCTTGGTGAGCAAGCGTGGCAAAGATTAGTCAGCAACTACTCCGCTGAAGTTTTAAAGTGTCCGAGTGAATTTGTTTACATTTAGAATAACGTTTTTTCTCTGCGAGATGCATTGCAATAGTATTTTTTAGATTTTATTCAAGAACTCTTTTTGGCGAGAATCCTGGATAATTTTTATGTAGCATGGTTCTCTTTGGATGCAAATCTTAAGATTCTTTAAAGTGTACAAAAGAAATAAATAAAATACAGAAATTTGGAGCATACCAATGGGCAAATTAAATTGTGGCTTGAACTACTGTACTAAACCTGTCAGGAAGAAGAGAACGTGGTTAGCTTAAGATGAGCAAAGCTAAAGCTAGTGCACAGCCTTGAATGATGGTACCACAGCAAACCTGTAACACTAAACTTTTACTGTGAAGCCTGCTCACATTCCATGTCCAAATGTATGCATTCAGAGTGGTTTCTTTCCTTAACAAGAGAAAAACAACGGCGTGTGGATCTCTCTCCCAGCTCAGCGTCTGGGTTCGCCGTCTGTGCTAACCTGACTCACAATAACTCTGTAAGGCTGGCTGACTTTGCTGGGCGTATGAAGTGGAAGCCTCATGCCATACACAGTAACTGCACAGTCGTGCTACAGTATTTTGAAGTAGTCCTTGAAATACTTATCTTTAAGCAGAAGCCCTTGGTCGCACTTTTAAGGTTTTTTTTATATATGTATATTCACAGATTTAAAAAAAATCCAAACAGCATACTTGAAGAGTGTAATACTCAAACTCTCAGTGCTTCCTTATTGTTTCTAATAGGATTTTTTATTATAATTATTATTATTATTATTGGGGTTTTTTTTGGAAGGGGTTGGGAGGGTCATTACTTTTTTTTCCTTTTAAATAAAGAAGTGATGTTTTTAAATGAAGAAATGCGTGAATAATTGTGAGCCGTCTTGTCCTGAAACAGTTTTGAGGAGGGCAGAGAGTAGTTTCTAGTGCCAGCCTGTCTGGAACGCAGCGCTCTTCATATGCCATTTATCTGTCCTCCTGAGCATACAGATGCAGCATCATGAAAAACATCTATCTTCTCCACACATTTTTGCCATGTAGGGCTTTTTTTTTTTCTTTTTCCAGATGTGAATGAGAGTATGTTTATGTTTCTCGTTTGCACGTCACCTCTCATTCCTGGCCTCAGGATAAGAATAAGGAATTTCTCTTCATCCCTTCCTAGGGAAAAGACAGGTTCTTTTAAGGAAGGAAATACTGAATCAACAGTCCACTTAAAAGAATGGTTGTCTCAGAAATATCTCTGATTTTTAAATAACCCCCTAAAAAGAGAAACCAAAGTTTTCCTCCTGTCAGGCTCTGGTAAGACCATTTGTGTGTCTGTGTCGAGATCTTCCTTGTACACTGTGTGTGTGGTGTGCCATGGAGAGCACCCTCTTCTCCAGCCGTGGGGGCAAGGGCTGGGTATAGATTCCTCTTCAAAGCTCTGAAGGCAATGTCAGCTTCCAGTGTAACTCCCGAGGCCTGGCAGCACGCTGTTGCTGGTCCCTCCTGGCACCGGCAGGCAGGCTTCCTGTCCAAGGCAGCGGTGTTTGCTCTCTGCTGGTTTTATGACTGGTGTCCCTTTCACTGTAGAAAAGCCAAGATTCAGCTTCTGTCTCCATGAAATCCAAAAAGACTCCAGGATTCTCTTTCAAACCATTTATGGTGTTTAGTTAGATCTTACTGTTTTCCTTCCTTCCAGGCTTAAGTTCCCTCTAGGAACCAAATGTTGCCCAAGTGACCTAAACCAGTTGAAATCATACATATACCTATACAGAACATGTACATCAAAGATAGATAGATAGATAGATAGATAGATAGATAGATAGATAGATAGATAGATAGATAGATAGATAGATGGATGTAGATGGAAGCCTAGGACTTTATGCTATGACACAAATTCTGGGTTCTGAGAAGTTCCCTCAAACTAGGTTAACAGCCTGGAGGGTCTTCTGGTTGCCAGTGGAGGCAAGCCCTCCACCGCCCAACCATCCTTCCTCCTTCTGTCCGTTTTTTTCCATAGTCACAGGAAACTCAGGTACGGCCCTCCCAGGGATCCCAGCACACCTCTGTCACCACCTGCACTAATCTGCTCCTGTCCTACTTAAAACACAGATTGCCAATTGCAGCTGACTCAAGCCAAAAATAATCATGCTTTCTACAGAGTTGCAGACGGAGCAAAGATCATGTAAACATTCTCTCCCTAGACCATGCTTCTAGCTCCAGTGAAACCGTTCTGTTTACCATCCTTCTCTGGCTGATCCCAATTACGTGGGTAACTATCATCTTCCCCTTACATGTTTTCTGTCAGAAACAAAGGTGTGAATAACAGTAAGAACTGATTTGGCACATAATTGAAAAGCTTTGTTGCCTTTATTTCTGAAACCTGGCCTTTACACCTCTGGTTTTCTCTGTTCTGATCACACTAGATTTGCTCATGGTAGGTTTTTATGTGCTCAAAGTAGGAAGGAGTTGAAAGCCAATGGATCTGGACACTCGGTGCCACTCATCCATAGTATCTGAAGGAAGTGTTTGTCTCTCCTTTATATCCTGACTTTGTTTAGTGTCTCAACTCTGTGTCGTCTTCAGTAAATATCATTTGCTAATCTGCCAGAAGGCACAGGCTTAATAGAAACTTATCACCTCAAAACTGTTTGGTGAAGGCCATGTACATATGGTTCTGGACAATGTCTGTCTGTCTGTCTCTTTCTCTCTCGACAGTTTCTTCCATTCCAGAAAGTTGTCTGCAGTAATGCCATGTATGATGCTGCATCCACTTTTCATATCCTAACACAACTGCCATGTGTTTTGCCTTTTGCATTAGCAGAACGTTTTGGGGTTTCCCTTCCTCTTCAATTTGAAGGTCTGTGATGATTTCCGATAGCTTAACAATGATTATATCGTTGGAAATGTGATTCTAGCTTTAAAGCTCCCTCTCCTTGTAAGTGGTTGTGTTTGCTTTCTTGATGAAGTGTTTCTGGATGACGTGTAGAGGACAGTTTCCGCCATGGATGTGAGTGTGCGTGTGAGTACCTTTTTTATTAGCCTTCCTTATGGGTGTAAACTTTTTAGTGGCCATCTCGGAGTTGCAGAATGTTTCCCAAAGCATTTTATATTCAGAGTTGACATTCTGAAATTGCTTAGATATGTTTAGCACATATCAACTTGGCTATAAAAAGGGAAGAATATAATGGACTGTGTTAGTTCAAAAAGCAGCAGCTCTTCATTGAAATTCCATGGTTCAAATGAAGTTCATCTGCTTACCCCATTTCCTTTCTCAATGTAAAGAAAGAAAATCTTGATGCAAAAAAAAATTTACCATGTAAAATTTTATAAAGTTCTCTTTTCTCTCAGGCTCATTAATTTAGTTTAATGATACTCGGCATGCTCACAGCAGGTATTTCATTGGTTTATTCCAATCCTATGAGTTCTTAGGGTCTGATCAGATTAAATGCTGACTTCTGTACATGTTGCACTGGGACAGAAAAGCACTGTCTTTCAGCTTTGAAAATATGCATTTTTTTTAATTAAACAAGCAGCATTATAACAAAAGAAGCCAAGCTATGAAGGGGTTCAAGATTGAGTACTTTTGCCAGTTTTTAAGTGAATTCTGAATGTGGCTAAAGAGTTAAAAACCCTGTGTGTCTGTGTTGTGTATGCCAGGTGGTATAGTAGTAGGCAATTGACTTAGCTGTAAGTGTGTTTTAAAAGTGTAAAAAAATAAACAGAAAAACTCACTTGCACGGGTTGAAAAGTACAGAAATGACACTTGTGAACGTAACACTGTAGTTTATAGGTCTTAAGCTGCTAATTGTTGAGAGAGATTTACATTTGTCTTGTCTGATTGTCGCAGATTTATCTGTGACACTTTTACTGTATATAAAAAACTTTAAATAAAGACCTCAGCTATTAACACTGGCCTGGTTTGGATGTTTGGGGCAGGAGGGGACTGGGGGGAGGGGGATGGTGAGCAAGGAAAAGGAATGTGTTAAAACCGTACTGAACCCTAGTAACTTCAAATTTGAGTAAGTTCTCCATAGACCCGATACCCGATTTCATCCCAGCACCAACCCAACCATACGCCACAGGCAGGAATAAGTTGGCTGCACTGTTGGTCTCTGCGGGCAGAGGAAGAGGAGGAGCAGCACTGCATTCTTCCTCACCCATTTCCTTCCCTGCCTCTCCCAGGGTCACTGCCGTGCCCGCAGGTGTGGGGTTTGCACCCAGCAGCGTTTCTCTGCCCCCGTCCAGGAGCCGGATGCCGTTAGAGAGGTGACGTACCTGGAGGCGGCTGCCTCCGAAGAGCTGGGCTGGTGGGAGCCCCCCCTCTGCGCGGGTCTGTAACCTGGGCTGCCCGGCTGGGGAGGGCTGGGGCTGCCTCTCGCTTCCTCGGAGTTGTACAGGATAGTGCAAATGAAAATGAAAACCCTTGGTGGGCTGCGGGCCCAGGTCGGTGCCCAGCGACACAGGCAGGGCGAGCTGCAGTTCTAGCCTGGCCTGTACTTCTCACCAGGTGTTGCTGTGGAGCAGCGCTGGGCCCCGGCTCCGCTCTGCCGGGGAAGAATCCAGCTGGCAGGATGGCGTTCCCTCACCCAGAGCCCACCCCCTCTTCTCCGAGGAACGGCGAGAGCCCAGAGGATGTTGTTTGGGCCATCACTCAACAAGTATTCTGTCTACTGCATTTCATAGAAGAATTTCTGAATTCTGTAGTACTTTTACAAGCTGGAAGCGAGCAGATTCCTCACTAATGTGAAGAAAATACTCACTCCGCTTGTTTTTTGGTCACATGGCCTGAAGAACACAGAACCAAGAAGGGAATAGCAAACACTTTTGTAAGAGGGAAGAGACCCAAGTATTTTTCTCTGTTTTCACAAAAAGTTGCAAGTGCTGTAAAACCAGCAAGAGGTCAAAAAGCAAAAGTAGCTATTTTGCAGGGATTTTCTCCCCGTAGTCTCCCCACAACCAGAATGCAAATTCCAAGGTTATGGATGAAGCAAGTGCAATCATACTTTTGCTAGAGCTGTCTGGCTCAAGACAGTACATGGGTGCTGGTTGTGAAGTTTAATGTTTCTGTGTTCTGGGGCGGCCACCTGGTAGGTGTTGGTTGGACTCTACGGTTGTTCAATGCGGCTCAGGATCAACAGGGGGTATAATGACTGAGCGTGGAAGCAGGGGCCTTCTACTCCCATGTCAACAGTTTTAATCCCGTAATTTAGAGGATTAGGAGTCATTACTCAGCTTTTTGGTTAGTCTGTGGGAAGTGGTTTGATAGCTCCACCCAGGTCCTGGGGGACAAACAGATGTGGCAAGGCTGTGGCTGTGCTGGGCTGGCACAGTGGAGGTGGCTGATCTTTCTCACTGGAGCAGTCCCTCGCCCAGCTCAGATCACAACACACTGTGTTGATTGTGGAAACTGGGGCAGACAGAGCTCCCTGCCACGAGGCATCTGTCTTCAGGTTATTTAACAAACACCAAACCTACTTTCTCATAAAGGATGGTGTTGGTTAATGGTTTGCTGGCCTCAGCAGAGCCTCCCTCACTGAGTGGAGTTAGCTGAAATGGGAACTGGGTCCTCTGCTGCCCGAGTCAGCGTGAAATGGTGCATCCCTGGGCAAACCAGCTCTGCTGAGGGCTTCATTCCCTAGACAGTTCCCCTCTGAATTTAGGAATAAGTCATCAAGTGTGTGTGTTCTGCCTCTGTGCCAGCCCTGGCCTGAAGAGGCAACAAAATGAGGAATGCTGCCTGAGGAGAAAAGTGAGAACAAAGCGGGAAGCTGTGATGCTTCAGCTGTGTAGCCCTGCCTGTGCACAGCTGATACTCGCCTTGCAATCAGGTCAGTAGGAGTTCAAAAATTCCTCCACTACACACTCCAAAGCACTTAAATCCTGCAGGGGTTAAATGTCAGATCTCCACTGTGACAGCCTTGAGGACATCCCTGTCTCCAGTTGCATTGTTTGAAAACTTTTATGCCCAACACTGGCTGTGATAGGTAGGGAGAGGGAGCCTGAAGAGGTGATCCGTGAGGCTCTGGGGCTCCGGCGGGAGCCGCCCCAAGGCACAGTCCCGAAGGGCGGGAGGGCTCTGCTTCTGGGGGCTAAGCATGGCAGGGGCTGTGATTGCCCTGAACATCAGTCATCTGGCTGATCTGGAGCTTTCTGCTCCTCCCCGCCCCTCCTGCCAGAGCCAGCGTGCCGGAGGGGCCCTGCGGGGCAGAGGCCTGACCCCGGCCGCTCCTGCCCCGGCCCGGTGCGCTGGGTGTTTGCCGACGGGCCTCTGCCCCCCGGGCTCCTGAGCAGCACGTTGTCCCGGTCACTGACCCACCCCGGCAGCAAAGGGGAGCCCCGCGGGCCAGGGCTCCTCACATGCCGGCCTCGGCCCTGCTCTGGCGGGGTTGTGTGTCCAGCAGCAGAGATCACTCGCAAAAGCGCCTTTTCTCTGATGCAGGGTTGGCTTCAAACGAAAAGAGGGGAAGGAATCACGAGATTCAGAGGTTCTCTGAGGACAGGATGGAGATTGCGCAGGAGCAATGGCCACGTTGATAAACTCCCCATTTCCTGACACCAGCCAGGGAAGGAGGGTGCTCCGCAGTGCAGAGCTGCAGAGTGCCTGGGCTGGAGGCAGCCGCAGGGCAGGAGGGGTGAGATGAGCCTGCAGAGCTCCAGCCTGGGGATGGTCCCACCTGTTAGCAAAGCACCCATTGTCTTTCTGCCATGTCCCCCACCCAAGCACTGCTTACAGCTGCGTCTTTGCCAAGTGCTAATAGCATGGTTAATTACTGGAGCAGGGTGCAGGCACAGCTGATGCTGGGGAAGGTCGATGTGTGGAGCAGGGGCTGCCCACGTACGGGAACCACGCATGGCTGTGAGCTAGTAAAAGCAGGGTGCTGACTGGGAAACACCTTTCAGCTGGGCTGCTAAAAATCTTCCCCCTCTCCCCATCAGCAAAAGGAAACCTGGTGCTCTGCCCTCCCAGACACTCTTGTTCTGCTCTGGCACGTGGACAGTGGCAGGAGGGGTTTGTGGGCCCCCACACAGGAATTCACCGACTCAAAAAGCAAGCGAGCTGGGCTTCTCGTCTGGCCTCCAAACGCCTCAGGTCAGCCCGTCAGTGGGGTCAGCCTGGACCCACAGCGTGTTGCCTGCAGAGCTTGTGAGTGGAGGCTTGAGCCTGGGGCTGAGCCGCAGTGGCTCTGGGGACAGCAGCTTGCAGCTGACACGCTGGCTCGGCGAAGTGCTGCAACGCTGAAGCCGTTCCTGGCGCGGGTCTCACGAGGAGGCCTGGAGCCAGCTGCTGCGGGTGCTGATACATGGGGAGCGCCTGCTTTTCCTCTCCGCTGCGCTGGCTGATAAGCACAAAGTGTTTGAAGAGAAGTGGCAAAGATGGACTTGCCCAGTCTCCACGTCTGATACAGAAACACAGGTTGAGATAATAGCTCTTGCTAGGCTAACCTAAACATGTTTTACACGTGGACGGAGCAGTGAGCAGGAGTGATAATGGCAGCGGAGTAGATAGATTGCTGCTATCTGGGTTACAAAAGGGCTTTTATTTAATTATGCTCAATTCGCTTCCCCTGCCTGTGGATTCCTGCACTGCTGGTGCAGGGCTCGCCAGGGCCTGCTGCCCCGAGGCAGCAGCAGGCGGGGAGGCAGCGGGTGCCTGCGCCCCGGGGACCTGCCCTGACGCTGCGCGGGGTAGTCGGGGCCACCTCACGCAGGCATCAAGCCCCAGCTCTGTGCAGCGGTGCCGTAGGCTGGTGCTCGTGCCCGCCAGCTTCCCGGGGGACTGCGGGTGGGTGAAGCCGCGCCCCTCCTGGCTGCCTTGGCTCAAGCCCCGCGCTGATTTTATTGCGGCTGCGGCACCTGGCAGAGCTGGCACGAGCTCCTCTGCCTTCTATTTTTAAGAATTCCCTTTGAGTGTGCGCATGGGGATAGCTGCTGTTCCCGTGGATCTTGTAAGGGCGAGGGTGAGGCTCAGCTGACGGGAGGCTGCTGCTCCCCCTCTGAGACCGAGGCGTCCAGAGGAGCCGTGGGGCCAGCGACAGCCAACGCCAGCAGGGACTGTGGAGTTGCTCCCAGCTGCACACTGTTTCCCCTTGTTGAGGCATCTCCCCCCAGCAAGACCAGGGACAGGGTGGAGGAGGACAGCCCAGGGTGCCCCTGCACAGCCAGGGAGCCAGCGGCCCCGCTGAGGCCCCAGCGCTGCATCGGCCGCTGGTGGCTCACAGACTCGGGGGGGAGTGGGGACACCGCACTGGTGCCCCCAAGTCCTCCCCCAGTGATGCCAGGTGGGGCCATGGCCAGGCTCAAGGCACAGACTGGGGACAGGGAAGGTCCTGTGGCCATCCCCGGGGCTCACTGCCCCTGGCAGCAGCACTCGGGGCCCTGGTTTTGCTCCCGGAGGCTGGAGGCCTGCGCTGGGCCCCAGGCAAAGGTCTCTCCCCGTGAGCGTGAGCTTTGGGCAGGGAGTGGGGGCAGAGGAGAACAGGAACTTGCTGGTTTTTCTTGCCACATTCCCATTTCCGCTGCTTGTGGCCATCCCACAGTCCAGAGCCACATCATGGCTTTTAAAGGTGCTGGGTTTGCTTCTCTATTAGCACGCCTCAGCTCTGACTCACTTCCTTTCCCACCGCCGCTTGCCTTGGCGACTGCTGAAGGAGATCCCTCTGCGAGCTCCTGTCCAGGAGGCCAGTGGAGCAGCTCCTGGTGTGCTTTGGTCTCTCTCCTTCAGCATGAACGTGCCAGGTCACAGACACAGGCTGGGGTTCATTCAGACCTGTGCTCCCTAACTCTGTTCCCCACCCACAGGCTTCTTAGGAGGAACAAGCCAGCACTAATCACTGCTTGTGTTTCCATTTATTGTCGGCTTTGAACTTGTGTTTGCAGATGTTTGATATTTTTTTTTTGTCTGGAGCA